CAGCGGAGGTGCACGGGGATCCTCTCACGACTACAATAATGGCACTTATGAATACCTGCTGAAAGCTCAGTCCACAATGTTCCTCTATAGAGTTTTTGTTTGTTTTGTTTGTGCACAGATCAGATTGTGTCCTCCTTCGCTGCACTGGGTTGTCGGCAGAAGTTTTCCCATCCAGCTGCCAGACAAATATACGATCAGCTGCTCATGTCAGTGTCTGCACGCAGCAGAAAGATGCTAACCAGGTGCTTCTGATAGCTTTCAACAAGCTAAGCTACAACTTTATTTAGGTTTGAAGCTTTATGCCTGAAAATACGCCAAAATGTTTTCATCCCAAGACGTCAGATACTGGCGTTTTGTCTTCAGCAGTACAGACAGAGGGTCGTTTTTGCATCTCTGACCAGAGCAACAGTGGACACAAAGATCAGAGAGGCCATGAAGCTCCATTTGGGAGCTTTGTGTCCTGCTCTGTCTTGTCTATGACAGATTAATAGCGAGGTCCAGCTTACTGTTGCTGCACCCAAGGGGGGCTCAAGCACACTTTTAGTAACATGTGAGAACGCTAGAGTCCCCCGCATTCTGATCAGACCTTGGCCGGTCTTTAATCTGCCAGCCCCTTAGTGCAAAATCTGTGTGCTGCATCGGTGATCTATCAGCGCAGCTCCCTCACATAAATCAAGCCAAATATTTTCAGGACTGCATGTGGGCCACTTCCTGTTTTGTGCCACATGTGAGAACTGACAAGTGTTAGAAAACAAAAAGCTCCTGACCTGCTCTGTTTGTGAAATCAGGCTCTGTGACACCAGCAGCTTTGACAAAATTTCTCTTTGACGGCGTCGGTATGAGACCGGGCTCATGCTACACCCTGCACTCGGAGCGCCTCACACCCTGGACGTCTAAAACTGAGCAGCAGGTTAAAGCCAGGGGACGTGATCCTCTAACACAGAGCAGCTCCAGCAGTTATCATGGTGGGTGTTGGATGCTGCCGGCAGCTGGATGGACAGTTTGTTCGTCTCCCACCAGCCTCTTCTTTCCTTCCCTTTTTCCTTCCTCCCTCCCTCGTCGTCCTCCTCCTCTCTGTGCTCGAGCACAAACAGAGCAACACCAGCACTGCTGCCCACATCTCCTCTGTCCTCCAGCTCTCTGCTCCATGTTTACACACTGAAGGGTTCGACTGAGCCGACTGGGCCCACACCAAACACAAACACACTCGTTCTCACACTGCCCGAGCTTCTTCCACAGCTGCCAGCAAAACTCAACAGCAGCTCATTTTTTTTCTTGTTTTTCTTGTTTTTGACACAAAACACTTGAGTTTCTGTCTCTTCCTCTCTCTCTTAGCCGCCGCCTCCTCTCCTCTTCATGCCAGGTAGATATTTCCTTTATTTCTCAGGAAGTATTTGATAGACCATTTTATGAGGAAATGTATCCGCCAGCAGCTCCCATTGCCACAGCACAACTACAGTATATCTTCCCCTCCAGGACAGACTCTCACCGCAGGTTTAATTTCCATCCTTTCTTCTTACACCACAGCGGCCCTTTTCATTTCACTCTTCTTTCTTTTTTTTGTTTTGTTGTTTCTTGTTGTTTTTAATAAAAATATCCTCCAATGTTTGGAGCAGCACCTGGAAGAGAGACTATCTTTATATTTTGTATCAAGTTTGTGATAGGTTGTGCTTTTTGTTTGTTTTGTTTTTTTGTTCCAGAAATGGGGGAGATCATTTTAAAAGCCAGAGGAGAACGGGGACTGTTCTTTTTAAAGATCAGCGACTTCTCAAAGGAGTGTTTTTATAACCTGACACACAACTCTACACTTATTCACTTGACTGACAGTCGTGCTTTTAACTTTTTTGGGGGGGGTTTACTTTTTTTTTTTTTGACAAGCGGGAGGGATGAGAGGTCAATCCGAGAGCTGAAATGTGAATCTCTCTCTGCCCCTTGGCAAAGAAGTGTTGTATAGACTTCTCATCCTTCAAACTTCTTTTTTTTTTTTTTCCTTCAGTTGTTGTCATCAGACAGCATGGAATAATGACACTTGCAAAGTGGCGCTGAAAAAGTAAATAATGACATAACCATGAATAAAGGATTGTAAAATATTAATAAAATAATTACTTTTCAGAAATCTGCACTTGTGTTTTGGTTTTTCTGGGAGTTTGGGAACATCTGAAGCTTCAAACATGATTGATGACGGGGGTGATTAGAGCTCATGTGAATATACAGGGTGGGCCATTTATATGGATACACTGTAATAACATGGGAATGGTTGGTGATATTAAAGTCCTGTGTGACCGTGGTGGCCATTTAGAAGTCGGCCATCTTGGATACAACTTTTGTTTTTTCAATAGGAAGAGGGCCATGTGACACATCAAACTTATTGGTAATGTCACAAGAAAAATAATGGTGTGCTTGGTTTCAACGTAGCTTTCATTGGGTTGAGACCAGGAGACTGACCTGATAACTGTCTCGGCTTACTTTGGTAGTATGATTTGGGTCTTTGGACTGCAGTGAAAATGGACAATGAGTCTGCTCATATCGGAGTCAGAAGCAGCAGGATGGATTATACTATCAGTGGTCACATCATCAGTAAACACTAGTGGCTCTGTTCCACTGACAGCCACTCATCCCTATGTCATATTACCTGTCAAACATGGTGGAGGTAATGTGCGTGCTTTGAATCATGAGCCGTTTCTTTTCTCCTCCACACTGTTCTCTTCATTCATTTTCATCTGTCCAAAGATTTTAGGTTTTTTTTCCAGGCAGTCTCTTTAAGCAAATCTAATCTGGTCGTCTTCCTGGCTGTAACCAGTGGTTTGCATTTGGATGAAAACCCAGTTTCAAATCATGAAAACATCTCTTGATTGTAGACCCAGTTGTCCCTAAACCTGTTCTTGTCTTGGTTTGATGCTGTGAACTTGTTTCTCTGAACCATGCAGGTAATCACAATTCACACTTCGGCTCATGTGATTAGGTAGAGGATCATCAGGGGGTCCTTTGTCCATCTTTGGGGGGAAACTCCCACTAGGTTTAAATCTGGGACTCTCCACCATTTGACCTTAGAACTGAAGAAGCTTCTCGGATGAGAGGTGAAACGTCTTCAAACAACTTAATCAAGTCCAGACGCTTTTCTTTCCAAGCTCCTTAGACTACGATGACCTGGATGACTGAGAACCTTCACAGACATATGCAAGTAATTCTGTCCTCATGCACGCTAGTCGTCTTTTATGTTTCCATTTTGGTTTTTGGCCTCCTCTGCTTCCATCAGCATCTGTTTGAACCTCATATTGACATCCTGTGAGCAGCTACCAAATCTGAACAACAGCAA